CCCTACTATAAACATGATGCCTGTTTATCCCATCTGACTAATATAGCTTACATCATTTGTGGGGTGTTAGACCAAAATTCAGCTTCTAGATTTACTACATAAATGTCCTAGACAAGTAGGATACAGTATTCATTATGATTACTTTCTATGAATTACTCAATTTTTATTTATAATTCTTAATTTTATTTAAATTTCCTTTTCATATCCTTAATCAAATAAAATTCCAAATTCCAGTGCAACTGATACAACGTAATTAATACAACTCCAAGTTCTATTCCAGTCTCTTGATATGTTATCTTGTTTGGTATACTTTTGTTTTCTGCTCTTAAAGCTCAACAGTCACTTTGAGGGGTTTAATCATTACTTTTCCCCTTCTCTTTCAAGTTGTCACACTGATTTCCAGTTTCAGTGATTGTAACTCTTTTTTGTTTCCTCCTCTGTTTTGGTGAATTCTACAACTTACCAAAGGAAATACAGGAAGCATATATTTTTTAAATACTTTTAATTGTAGATGGGTGTGATATCTTAATTCTTTAATGTGGTACTGAGAATTGAATCCAGTGCCTCACACGTGCTAAGCAAGTGCTCTACCACTGAGCCGCAACCCAGCCCTGGGAAGCATATTTTTAAGTTTATGTCTACCGTTACCCTTAATGACAACTTTTGCTGGTACAGGATTCTAGATGGAAATGCCTCAAATTCATAAAATCATGGGTGCACTGTGTTTTGGATATCAGTGGTGCTCCTTAAATCAAAATGAGAGCAGCAGATGGGTCTTTAGGTTTTGTTCACTGCTGACACATAGTGAGTACTAAATATTCTGATTCTTGATTCTTTGTGTGAAACCTATTTTCTCTTTACAGAAGATGTGATATTTTTTTTTAATCCAGTTTCTAAAAATTCATGAAAATATACCTTGATGAGTATCTTCTTTAGTCCAGTTTATTGGGCATTCAGTGAACTCCTTCAATCTAAAAAAACCCTTAAGTCTTTTAATTCTGGAAAATCTTTTTCAATAATTTTATTGATAATTTCTACCTCTGGCCTTAACTGTTTCTAGAATTCCTCCCATTTGTGAAGATGAAATGCCTAAGCAGATACTTAAGTTTTCTTATCTTTTTGTTGCAATTTGTTTTTCACCCTTGATCTACTTTTTGCAAGTTTTTCTTAACTGAATCTCTCAATAGTATGTTTGCATGTTGTCTGTGTGGCATCTGCATACAATTTCTAAGTGCTCTTATTATTTTTTTTCTCTAAGATTTTTTCCTGTTTATCTCATTTTTGTTTAATAAATGTTCTACCTTTTCAAACCTCCCTGAAAAGATCAATAATACTTCCTCCCAGTTTCCTCTTCCTCATATAATTTTGGTTTTATTCACAATTGCTTTTTTATTTCTCCTTTGTTGTTTACTTGGAATGGGCTCTGGCTTCCATAGTAAATACTTTTCTTAAATGTCTGATGATCTAGGTGTATGGTCATTTTCAGAAGTGTAGTATTATTAAAGGTGAAGTGGGCCTAGGTGGTATTTACAGACACTGGTCTTTGCCAAGGGGGAACCTGGCTGGGCAGTGTGAGTGGACATCTTTGCTGTACAGAGCTGTAGGTATTCTCTCTTGGGCCCATCAGAGACTAGGGGTAAGAAACTAGCAATATGCCTGGAAGTAGTTTGTGATTCTTGAATTTCAGAATAAATGTGTATTTACTCTCCCCGTTTCTACCTTCCACTGTGGCTGACGTTTCCTCCCCTCTGCCACTCCTCTGGAGAACGAATCTGTAGGCTCCTGCCAACACAGGAGAGCTGAGTTGGAAAAGAGATTTGGGGATCTAAGTGCTTCTGCTCAGATTCACAGCAAACCATTACTTTCTAGAGGGTCTTGACACTGGCGATTCCAAAACATTTGGTGGTTAAAAAATTTCACATTGCTCGTTTATGTTTCTTTTTTTCTTGGATTAGATACCATTAGATACCATTCATTCATCTGACTTCCAAAACATTTTTCACAACTCTTTTGTTTGCCATTTCCTCCTCTCTTACTCTTGCTGTTCTTGTGGGTTTATGCCTTCTTGAGAAATACTGTTCTGTTGTTTCAGTCAGATTGTGTCAGGACACTAAGCCAGACCTGTGTTTAATGTGTCATTTTTTGTTTCTGTCAGTCTGCCATCTTTGACCAGAAATTCTTCATTTCTGTTTATTTGGCCTTATTATGTTTTCTGAAATTCATTTCTAGAATATCATTGGGTTAAACAGACAAATTCCTATAGAAGAGCTGTGAAGTTACCATGCTTCTTTATCATGAGTTCACAAGCAGTTCTTATTTTTTTTTTT